CTCCTCCTTGTTCTGTATGATCATTTAGACCCAGGTCATCTCCGTTATCTTGTTCAGACAGTTCACTGTTATCTTACTTGTACTGTTCCCTCTTAAGGCAATCAACATTTTTTTTTGCTGTGGAATTCTTCTTTTTGGGTTTTATCTCCTTCTGCCATGATCAACAGGTTCAACAGCTCATTTGGCTTTTATATTCCTTTATGGTAGATGAATCCTTTCATCTTTTTCATGTCACTTACCATCAAGTTTTTCATTTCATGGTTTTTCTTTCTTCTGGCTGTTGATGCCTCTTAAATGAGAAATTTCCAGGTGAGAATGTGGATGACCTCCAATGCCTTTCTGTCACATTCTTTACATCACATTGTACTTTCTTCTGCTTCTAGTTTCACCTCCATACAGATACCATTCTCTAATCGTACCAGAGGCTCTAAAGAGATAAGTTATTTGTTATTTCTTTTTTTTTTTTGTCAGCTGCCATAAAATATGTGTATAAATAAATAAATATATATGTATATATACAGGAGACAATGGGACCCACCATTGGAATACTTCTATCTCTCAAAATCTGCATTGAGCACAGGTAACAGAAAATATTAAACCCATCTGCCCTGCTCAGTGCCTGCTGTTGAGATGGGGTTTTCCACAAGACTCTTTTTGCAGTTATTATATTTTACCTCCTAAGCCACACTTCTCCTTCCAAATAAAGAAAAACAGTATGGTTTCCTACCCTCATACCTAACTAGCTGTCTCTGTTTATGCTAATTTATTGAACAGTCTCTCATTGTGAGACCATTTGCAGTTAATAGATAATTCCTGTTCAGTCCATGCACCTTTCCAGTGTTCTCCCCTACATGTCTTCTTCCCTTCCATTTTTTTCAGGTGGAGTGGGAGAACCATTGTTTCCCTAATATCAAGCCACTAGGGAGGTCAATATGAGTTTCCCTTTCTGTCACTATATTCTTAGACCATTTTTTAATTTTTTTAAATCTAAACTGGACCCTACACCATTTTATCAATGTGTGATTCTATTTATTCTGTGGAGAGGTGAATATAATTTCTCTCCACAGAAACACTCTCCTTTCCTCTCCACCTCCAGTGTGTCTTTTCCCTCATCAAGATGAGCATTTGGTACAAAAGTGCTCAAGAGGAATACTGTGCATGGAAGATGTGTTACTCTTCTGTTGGTGAAAGGCTATAATTTAATGCTAATTGCATCACAGACTGGAACAGTGCATGTTGTTACATGTATGGGTGTTATAGCCTAATAATGATGGCATCATAGACTGACAGTACATTTTGTTACATGTATGGGTTGGAGTTTCAATCAAGAGGTGGTGCTTGTGCAAAAACTTTTCAGTAGTGGCATTGGGTTTCTATTTTGTGAGAGGTTAGTATCTACCTGAAGTTTTCCATATGAAGAAATAATTTTTCCATTAATCCCTTGTGAAATTCCTTTTCAGAAGCTTTGTGAAACTTAACATACACAACAGCAATTAAAGTACCTTCATTTAGAAAACAAGCTTCGTTAAACACTATATACAAGTTTTTAAAAAATATTATTTTTCTGGGGAGTGTTAATTAAGTTCTGATAAGGTACTCTCCCTCTGTATGCAAGTTTTTTTCAGAAATGCATGCCGCAAGCCTTCATCCTCCTTCTGTTGGAATCCAAAGTTCAAAAATGTCTCTCATGCAAATCATCATGCGTCACCTCTCCACCAATAGTATCACGTGATGCATGTGACTCCCTCTGCACGCCACTACCGAACTATCATTTCTCGTTTGACAGCTGTCGAGTTTAGACGGTTTTTTTTACATTATTTAGTTACCTTGAAGTGGTTATTTTTCATTTTATTTTTTTCTAAACTTTATTTCCAACACTTCATAGTCGTGGAGTTAATATTTTAATAAAGCATTACTTCCTTGTGTTTCCCGCTTATGAATTCCGAAGTTACAGTCACCATTTTGGGTACTTTGCCAACGTCTGATGCCGTATTTTGAGGCACGAGGGACCTGTCGGGGGGAGGGAGGTATATCGTCGCTTATTCGTTAGGAGATTGAGTGGTATATGAGCCTACGCCTCACGCCTACTTCTGCCCCACTTCCTCCTGAGCCTTTCGAGCCGGGCCAGGCTGTAGATGATTTTGATCATTTGTTCCCCACCCGAAATTTGCCGCGCCTTCCCGTTCACTACCTGATGGTTCAGCTCATCCATCATCATTTTTTTTTCAGACTATCCCTTAGGTATGTGATGTTTTGTTTCTTACACCTGTTTCCTATGGCCCTAGACCTTCCCTCTTCCATCAAACTTCCTGACCCTGTTTAGTCTTTACCCCACCCTCTGATATTAGGGTTCACGTGGACCAATATTCCTCTCAACTAATGCAGGGCATTAGTATGCCTCCTCCCCAAGGACTTCGGATCAGTATACCCTTGCTTTTCATCAGATGGACTTTCCTTTCCTCGACCAACAGTTGTTGGGGTCGGTTCTACCTGTTTAGATAGTGAAAGAGGCTTTTCATAGGAACCCTGAGGGGTTTTCTGCTGACATCCTTACTTCTATGTTGGCTCATTTGTCATCTTTGGTTCTCGTGCTTTAAACATCATTTGTTTGTTGTTGGGACCTCTTGGGCTGTGTTGGCCATTGGAAGAGAATCTACAATCAGTCATGTAGACGACTCCACATACGTTCATCTCCCACTACCTATACTACATCAGTCTTTCTGCTTCCTCAGGCTATTGCCTGCCGACTGTGGCTATTCATCAGACTTTGGCATGGCTGTGACATGAGGAAATCCCTCACTAATGTTTTCTTTTCTTTCAGAAGTCCCTGCTTCAGCTTAACTTTGGATCCCGCACTGTGGCAAGTGGTACCTGACCAGTTATTCTGTCTGTACTCAGAATGGGTTCCACTTAGATGGCTATAATCATTCGCAGACATATTGATATCAAATCTACACTGTAAGCCATGTTTATTCTTATACATTTTCCATGGCTATGTACACTCACCCTTGAGATGGGTGTTTCACAAGATCACTAAAGTGTAAATTCCTTGTGAGAATTGCATCATAATATGGCCGTCTTGGACCATACCTCCCATCGACGGCATGGGTAAAGCAGAAGGGGATTGCTGCCTATCCCTGCCATGTCTAGATTGAATAAATCAGTGTGATCTGCTTTTCAAAATAGGGTTTCATGATCACCCATTGCACTGTATAGGGTGTTGAGGTCCCTTCGGACACTCCGCCAAATTTTCCCCCTTTCTTCCAGTGGAGTAAGGAAATCCTTACCACTTACCAGTTCCAAGCCACTGGGGTGGTTGACCATGGAGACAACCTGCAGGATGGGTTCCACAAAGATGGCTATAACTATTCACTTTAGAGTATGGTGGTGGTGTTCTGCCAGTGTAGAGGTAGTTACAAATCCTCTGGATGAGTGATTATTTTCCAGAGTTGAAATGCCCAAGTTCATTCCTCCAATTGGGTGCCCTCCTCCTACCCTCATCCGAATGTTGGTACCCAGCAAATGAGGTTTTGGAAATCAAGTGAACCAAGCACATAAGTCCTCACGCATGAATCGGGTTGTCCATCTTCCCCTCTCAACTTGTCCTCAGTGTCATAGAAGGTTTATGTGACTTGGTTTCGCTTCTGTCCTGGGTTTTCCCTCATTAAGTGACAAGGTTGTTACCAGCGTGGGGTCATTTTGGGCTAGTTTCACGGTCGCGAGTGTTGAGTGCATGTGATGCACTTCCTCGGATTCTGGATGATACATCCCCAGATCCCTGTATTAAGCTACCATGTGAGTTCCTGGAATCGAATCTTAGGTTGAGGTGAAGATGGTATGATCCTCATCCTACCCTGGCAAGGATGTCAGTACCAAGCGAGTGAGGTTTTGGATGTAGTTGACTTACCGAGTACAGTCCTTTGTGCCTTAGCTACTCTATATCATGGATCACATCTTCACTTAGCCACTTCCCATAATGGGATTGAGTGATTCTGATTTCTGTTTAAGATCACATTGCTAAACTATCCTCTCCCATGCAGATATGCTCCCTTTAATGTTCTGCCATGTCTGGTCCTTCTGATCATGTCGATGTTCCTGGCAAAGTGATACCTGGCTCAGATGTGGTGTGGTACCCCTCATCAGATCATCTAATCTGTTCCTCTCATTTCAGGTTGTCCTCTGGATGCTTCCAGGGGATATGCTTGTACTTCCTTCACAGCTGACCCTCCTCCATTTCAATGTGGGATTCAAGCTAATCTTGTGAATGGAGGGAGAGTACCTTATCAGAAGTTATAATTTTCATAAATGAAAACATGTTTCTGATAGGTACGTCCCTCTTCTCACACTTCCCACCCATTCTCACCATAATCTGATGGTGCTCGCATCTTCTGCCAAACTTCAAATTGATAGTTTGGTAGTGGCGTGTAGAGGGAGTCACATGCATCACGTGATAGTAGTGCTCTCCCATTGGTGGAGAGGTGATGCATGATGGTTTGCATGAGAGACGTGTTGGAACTTTGGATTCCAACAGAAGGAGAATGAAGGCTTGTGGCATGCGTTTCTGAAATAAAGAAATAAAGTATAGTGGGCAGCACAAAACGAGAATAGCTAATCTTGTGAGAAGTGGGAATTACCTATCGGAAATACATTTTCCTTTAGGAAAATTATAACTTCCAATTTTCCAGATAACTTCTGACATTACATTTTAATGTTGTCTTTGCTAACAACAGAAATCAAATTTTGATGGAAGTTTTAGACTGTGGGTGTATACAATGTTCAACAGCAAACTGATATCTTACATGCAGGGAATATAAGATTTTTCAATTCTTTCAATCTCCCTTTGTATAAATAACTAAATTTAAAAAAGGAAAAGAAAACAGCAGTATTAAAATAATATTTTTGTAAAAGTTACCACTAATACAATTTAACTGACTTCTGAATGTAATTTTGTAAAGATTAAATACTTGGATTACTGATGTGGATTGAATTTTCTCTTTCAGTGTGCGTAATGTTATGCACAAACATTTAGAAAAAATGGGAGAGGTGACTTTTGACAAGATCTTTAACCAAAAATTAGGTAAGTTATAAATATTTAGTTTGATGAATTATGGTAAAATAGGAAATAAGAGTTTTGAATATGATAATATCATTTGATAAGTGTGCAGTTACTTTCATTGCTTGCTTTAAAACTTAACTGTTGTGTACAATTACATTTACTTTAAACATGCATAGACATTAAATGTCTTTTATTTTACAAAATGATTTTCATTTGTTGAAAGAATGAATTAACATTAGCTGATTTTGACAAATCGTGTTTTTACTCATGGTGATTTGACTGTACCATGGTTACTTTTAACTTGAATTAGTCTTATCTATAACAATAAAAGGGCAAGTCTGTGGGTATGTGTGTGACTGTCATAGCTTCATAAGGAAAGAACCTAGAAGCCTAAAAATTTTGCACCCATACTAAGTGGACCCTGAGGGTGTGCAACTTGATATTACTTGTCCAATTCTCGTGTGTGCATGTGCATCTTTTTACTGAAGCAAGCCCACGTAGTTTAATACTATGCACTTTATTATCCACTAGCAAAAGTACCCAGCTTTGCTTGGGTTATTAGGTGTATTCTGAATCTATTTTAGCTTCCTGCAGGTGGACATAGTCTTCAACTTGGAGCTTCTTTTGATTTATGCAAATGAATCGCAGATGTTCTGTTTCAATTTTCCCATTACGACTTTAGTGACGGGGTTGTAAGGGAGCAGTGAAACTTTGTGAGTGTTGTGAATGTTGGTATGATTTAAAGAAATTAATAAATAAGCCTAAAGTAAGAGATAGTGTGAGATAACCTAGTGTACAGTCAAGTGCATAAAATGTATCATGAAAGCAAAAAATATTGACCCAATTTGTTAAACTTAAATTGTTTCTTAATTAAGGTATTTTCTGTTATATCACCAATGTTTTCAATAAAAACAAACCTCTTTAATCAACAGTGACTGTAAATTAATATTTTTCCAGTTTTGTTGTTTATACATTTCATTTTATACTTTCAGTACATAGAATAACAACAATATTACATTATACTTTTGTTGATAAGCAACATGACAAAAGCCATTTTTGGAAAGCACTGTTACTGAAATGAACTGGCTTTTCTATACATTAGAAGTTGTTATATAAGGAACCACTTCTTTTCTATGTGGTTTTTTGCTATTTAAGTACTCACTACTAGATGGTCTGAAATTCTCCAAGTTAATGATAAAGAATATTTTCTTGCTGTATCTCTAAAGTTGGTAGTAAAGATAAAAATATTTACTGAAAGTTTTTAAGTGGATATAAAGATTAAATTTCATTGATCTGTGTACTTTATATATATATATATTTTTTTTTTTCACTTTATAACATTTTAATAAAATAATTGTAAGTGTAATATGCTGGTCAGCTGTTTAGGAAAGTAGTTAGAAGTCTGTAGTTTTTCAGACAATTTTTTTGCTGTGGTGCCAGAAGCTCAGCAGAGAAAGGATTTCGTAAGGAAAAGAACTTTTCCTTTTATGTTCTATTAAGATTTTACATGAATTGATACTATTATCATATTTTATTTCTTGTTGTTATTCAGTTATTACAGTTTCTTTTGATTTGGAAAACTTGTTGACTTGATATTGTTACTATGCTTTCTTAAGCTTTGTGTATAGAACATTTACAAGTATATAAACCATTCAATTCTGTCTCCTAGATATACTGTACACCTTTCATAAAGTTACTTAGACAAGGCATACATACACGTGTGGTATGCGTAAGTACTTAGTATAAATTGGGCTACTGCATTCTAGATGTTTTGGAAGTAAAGTATGCCTTAGAACATTAAGTTGTTGGAAAAAATTACTTGTGAATTTCTTTTACTCACCAGAAATATACAAGTAACTAGTTAGTCAGCTGAATAATAATGGATAATTAATTGTGATTGTTTGTTGCATGTTATACAAACACTTAAAGTATTTTAAGTCAGTAGTGATGAGTAAAAGGCTAAACTTCGATATTAACAAAATGATTTGTTAAACTTTGATCAAAATAAATTTTTTTGTATACATATAGAAGAAAAATTCAGCATTATTTTTAAAATATAATACAAAATAATTATGAAATTACATCTTGATAATTTTTTAAAATACTACTTCATAGGTTACCTCCTCTTCAAAGAATTCTGTGAAATGCTATGTGATGAGCCAATTCCTCAATTAAAATTCTATGAGGAGGTGAGTTATTTGACTTAGAACCATTGAAAGTCATAGGAATGGAAAAATTGAATGAACGTTTGGTACTAATAACTTAAACTTATTAATTGACAGAATATTAGCATGAAGGATATGAAATCCATAAAAGAGTATATTGATAAGAGCAAAGAAGAGATGTGTTTGTACCAGAAATGTCCAGGTTGGTTTTGCTTATATCAATATGAATACAGGTAAAGGAACATGTGATAGACAATATAGTTAATATGATGTAATTGTGCTAATAAATCCTGTTGGAAGTTATGATTTTATTTGATTGTTTCTAGAAACTTGCACTAAAATATTTTTCCAATTGATTTAACTTGATTTAAATTTACCGGAACAGTTATCTTCTTATCAACCTATTGCAAGCATTATGAAAATATGGTGGAAAAAATTTCTTACTTGAATAGGTCTATATTGCACAAAAAATGATTTTGTGAAATATATTTTAGTGCATTATAAATGGGTACATTACCTAGTAGTAACATTGTTCAATTAAAGAAGCAACAAAAATATTTCCATGGTTTGTTTAGAATGTAACATAGAAATAATAGCATTCAACTAAAAAATTGAAGCACTTGTATGTGTATTAAGAAACAAAGACAGACCTGTTACTTGTGAATTAAACAAGTTCACAAGGGTTAGTTTTTGTTAGCTGTTATGGCTGATTTTTTGGTAGGATGTAATACATATTTTCTGGTATTAATACATATATTAGGTCGTCAAGAAATTAATGTCATGTTTTGGAACACTTTCATTTACCACCCCCCCAAAAACTTACATCATGTATAATAGTTAAATGAACCGTCTAAATGTCCCGTTAGTGTAGCCGATATAATGTGTAAAGTTCAGTATACTCTAATCCCTTATAGAGATGGCACACGACGAGACACACATTC